TGAAAATGTGGGGTCCTTTTTTTTTTTACTTCATTTTGCCAGGTCACCATCTGGAAAAGACCTGGGCCGAGACAAGACTGGCGAACCTACTACAATACACGGGGGTCCTTTAATTGAACTTTGTATAATATTATTATTATTATTATTATAAGCAAAAAGAAGAGCTGAACCTACAAGGGTCATACAGCACCATAACTTTGTATAGAAAGAGGTTTGGTTATAAGTAATGCATATTTTAAGAAAAAAGAGGATAAGTAAGTATACAAGATATGATATAGGACATTATGAAAATAGTTGCTGGATAAAAAGTTTATGGGTAAACTTCAGGATGTGCATGTTTATTGAGGGGCAACAGATATATCAGATCATTATATAATTGTAGCTACAGTTAGAGTAAGAGGTAGATGGGGCAGAAGGAAAATGGCATCAGCAAGTAAAAGAGAGGTGAAACTTTATAAACTAAGGGAGGAGGAAGTTAAGGTGAAATATAAGCAACTATTGGAAGAAAGGTGGGTTTATGAGAGTAGGTGGTGCTGGGGTTGAAGTAGGGTGGGATAGTTTTAAAAAATGCAGTGTTGGAATGTGGGGCAGAAGTTTGTGGATATAGGAGGGTGGGTGTTGGAATAAAGAGGAGTGACTGGTGGAATGATCAGGTAAAGGGTGTCATAAGGGAGAAAAGTTTGCTTATGAGATGATTTTGCAAAGCAGAAGTGATGTAGGAAGGGTGGAGTATATTGAGAGTAAAAGAGTGGCAAGGAAGTGTAAAAAGAGAGCAAATCATAGTGGGGGAGGTGCTGTCAACAAATTTTTACTGAGAACAAGAAAAAGTTTTTGGAGATAAACAGGTTGAAAAAGCCTAGAGAACAAATAGATTTGACAGTTAAAAACAGAATAGAGGAGTTAGTAGACGGAGTTAAAGGCATTAGGAAGCTGGTAGGAATATTTTGAACTGTAAAGTGTTGATGAAGAAGGGAAACAGTGATTTCATGCACTGGCCAGCTTTTAGGAGTGAAGATTATAATTATTACAATCAAAACTAAGCACTAAACCCACAAGGATCCTACAGCACTGCTAGGGGAGTGAAAAGCCAGATGTGAGTATGGGGAAGGTGCAAGCGGCATTGGGTAGGATGAAAGAGGGTAAAGCAGCTGGAATTGATGGAATCCTGACAGAAATGTTATAAGCAGTTATTTCAGACTATGGAACAAAACTCTTCTCCAGGCTGAGGGACTGACCACCTCAAAACTGTCCTCAAGGGTGATGGACTGATAACATTGGCTTCACATCTCTACTGCTTCTGCCAACTTTACTGTACTCGACTGAAGAAGCCTACTGTGTAGACAAAGTTTTGGAATAAAGATGCCTAACTGCTGTACATGTGTCTTACTTACCAATATAGTTTTGGAGTGGTTGGTACTTGTGTTCAATAAATTTATGAAAAAAGGGAAGGTACCCAGGGACTGGCAGTGTGTGCCTAGTTCCTTTATATAAAAGGGACACGTGTAAAAATTGTAGGGAAATAAGCCTACTGAGTATACCAGATAAAGTGTATGGTAGTTATTTTTGAAAGAATCGGGGGTAAGACAGAGAGCAAGAGTGCAGATGAACAAGGAGGCTTTAAGGGTAGAGGATGTGTATAATAAGTGTTAACATTGAAGCATATATGTGAACACTTGTAATTATAATCGTGGGGAAGCGATATATGTGGACAATACTTTAATAAAGGTAAAGTTTTCATTGCTTTTATGTACAGCAGACTGTCGTTTAACACGGTAGTTATGTTCCTGAAAATGTCGTTTTAGTTAAAATCATGTTAGACAAACTAAAGAACTTATGGGAAAAATAGGGTTACATTCCTGGGAGCCCCCAAACAAATCCAAACAACTTTTTTTAAACCTCCAGATCTTACAAAAATAAAAGTGAATATGTAATTGTAGTTCATAGTTGTGATGTATTATGTTGTTTTTAACCCTTAAATGGTCCAAATGTATATATACGTTTTTTCAACATGTGAAAGTATGTAAAAAAATGTAGATCTTCTTTTTGTTTTACATTTGAAAATGTGTAAAAAAAACTTTTATCTACATTTTTTTTTTTATATTTGAAAATGTGTAAAAAAAAAGTAGATCTACTTTTGTAGCACTATGAATTTGAACGTCGATCTCTTTGGACCGTTTAAGGGTTAATGCTCAAGATTACAAATACAACAGAAATAATATAGTACATATTTACCTTAAATTGTGGGTGCTGGTGTTTGCGGATGATTGTGGAGAGTTATGCTGTGGCCCTACTGGGCTGAGATGGATGGTAGAGATACTGGTACTGAAGTCAATGGTTGTACTGGAGTGTACATAAATTCTGTAATGGATTTCTGTTATATTTTACCCTGAGGTACATCATACAATTGATGGTAAGGCATCAGCTGCTCTAGACACCATTTCAGGATCCTCTTCAGTGAAAAAGTCTAACTTTAAGTCAGTCAAGTCAGCATGTCAGTCAGTCAGTAATATAGTCAATAAATCAGTCAAGTCAGTAAGTCACCACACAAACTCGTATTTACCTCATTCTTTTTATGTGCACAAAGAGACGCTTCATTACTGCCACTGGCTATCTCGTCTAATACTTTCTATTTTCTTCATAAATTCTAAGACTTAAATGCTTAAGCCTTTTCTTGCCACTTTCAGCAACACTTGTATACCTACTGGATGCCATGATTGGTTGGCAGATTTAAGATATGGCAAGAAAAAAGATATATCTCCTACCAGAGGATGGTATGCATTATATGGGCGATGTTTCAAAAAAATTTTCCCCTCCTGCAAATCGTGTCGAGTTAATTTTACAAAAGCGTTATACAAAAATATGCCGCAGTTCTTCAATCATGCTAGACAAAACCGTGTTTAACGACGGTCTACTGTATTTAGAAAAATGCATATTTTAGAATATAAGAGGGGAGGAACACTGCAGTAGGCCTATTGGCAGGTCCATGTCAAATCCAAACCCATTAACAAAAATATTCACCCAGCTCATCATTAATGTTAACCTATTAACTCGTGCGCAAGTCCCATTTAAATTCAACCCCTCTCACTTATGCATTTATCCAACCTAAATTTGAAGCTACCCAATGTTTTAGCTTCAATCACCCTACTAGCAAACTGTTCCACTCATCGACCATTTCCAAACCAGTACTTTCCTGTATCCTTCCTAAATCTAAATTTATCCAATCTGAATCCATTATTTCAGGTTCTCTTGGAGGGATATCCTCCAGGCCCTATTTATATCTCCTTTGTTGATACCCATCTTCCACTTAAACACTTCAATCATGTCTCCCCTCATTCTTCATCTTACAAGATTGTAATTTAAGAGACTTCAATCTTTCTTCATAAGGAAGATTTCTTATGCAATGGTTTTGTCATTCTTCGCTGAATGTTTCGTAATAACTTTATATCCATTCTACAATGGGGAGACCAGAATTGAGCTGCATAATCTAAGCGAGGCCTTACTAATGATGTATAGAGCTGTAGTATAACCTCTGGACTTATGTTGCTTACATTTCTTGATATAAATCCCAGTAATTGTTTGCCTTATTACATACACTTAGGCACTACTGTCTTGGTTTCAAGTTGCTGCTTATCATAACCCCTAAGTCTTTTCACATGCTGTATACATAAGTACTACATTATTTAGTTTATAAATGCTAGGGTTATGGGCATTTCCAAGTTTCAGAACTTTGCTTTTATCTACATTGAGCTGCATCTGCCATTTTTTTGACCACAACTTGAGTTTGTCTAAATCCACCTGGAGTTCAATAACATCTTCCTCTGTTTGGGGAGCAGTGTGGCAGATGGTTTAAGTGTATAGAATAGGTAGTAAGTTACTAAATGCTGTAGAATTTTTATGAGGATACTGAGGCTCACCATGGTCGTTTAACATTTATAGACAGGGTTGTAAAAAGTAAATGTGGAATCAAATATAAAATCGAAAGGTGACAGTTACTTTTTTGCTGATGATACTGTGCTATTGGAATACTCTGGAGACAAGTTGCTAAGGTTAGTGGATGAGTTTGAGAGGGAGTATAAAAGAAGGAATTTGAAAGTGAACATCGATAAGAGTAAAGTGATGAGGGTACCAAACGAGATGCATTAGGAAAATTGGATATCAGATTGGAGGGAGTATTTAAGAAGTAAATGTGTTCAGATATTTGGGAGTGGACATGTTACAGATGGGTATGTGAAGGACGAGGTCAACCATAGAATTTATGAAGGAAAAAAAGGGGAGTGGTGCACTGAGGTATCTGTGGAGACAAAGAACATTATCCATGGAGACAAAGGAAATGCATGAGAGTATAGTGGTACCAACACTTGTATATGGGTGAGAATGTTGCAGTGAGAAGGCTGAAGGCAGTGGAGCTGTCGTATGTGAGGGTGATGTGTGGCATAAATATGCAGAGAATTCGTAGTGTGGAAGCTAGGAGGATGCGCAGTGACAAAGTATTATTCAGAGGGCTGAGGTGCTTTGGTTATTTAGAGGATGGAGAAAAAACAGGATGACTTGGGTGTATAAATCTGTAGTGGGGGGAAGGTGGAGTATGGGTTGTCCTAGGAAAGGATGGAGGGAGGGGGTAAAGAAAGTTTGGAGTGCAAGGGGCTTGGGCATGCAGCAGGCATGTGTGAGCCTATTAGATAGTTGAGACAAATGGTTTGTGAGACTTGATCTGTCTGAGAGTGAGCAAGGTAATATTTTATGAAGGAACTCACAGAAACTGGTTAACTGGACTAGGAGTCCTGGAGGTGGGAAGTACAGTGCCTGCACTCTAAAGGAGAGGACTAGTATATTTGCTGTTTAGTGATATCTAAACTGTCAAATCTGCATGCCTCTGGCAAGGCAATAAAATGATGGTGAAAATGCTTCTTTTTCAGATCACCCTGCCTTGGTGGAAGACAGCCAACATGTTAAAGAAAAAAAAATACAACTGGTAGGTAAACCTTAAAAAAAAAAAAAAATAGTTTTAAACATTTTGATTTATTGTTACAAGAGTTCATAAATATTTTGGCTAATACAACTATAAGATAATGCACTGATATTAACATTATATTTATTATAACAAAAAATTTAAATATGAATTGGGTGACTACCAGTCCTAGGTGCTTAGGAATATTTTAATCTGTAATATTATATATATCTCCAGAAAAATAATATAATCAAAAGTGCTAAACCCAAAAGGGTCATCCAGAAAAGTAATTGTGCACAGAAAAAACTGAAAATACAAGACACTGAAGAAATACATACATCAAAATCTTGTGCACTTATTGCTGAACTTGGAAGTGTATACTTTCAGTTTCATATATGGTATGCATTTTTGGCATTACCAAATTTTTGCATTTAATGTTTTGAAACAAAGCACCTTAGAACCTTAATAACAGGATATTTACAAGGGCAAGAAAAAATATGATTCTGCCAAGACAAAAGTAAGCACGTACAGGAAGACCTAGGACAGTAAAGAAGGAAGGCTGTTGCATAGGCACTGGCAGCACATACAATCTTGAAAAAGCAAGAAAGCATTGTTTTGGCTAAATCTTTGTAATATTTTGTTTCCTTTCACATAATTTTATTAGAAAAAGTTTATAATTACCCCTCAGACCTCTTCAAACACAAGAAAATAATTGGCTTGTTTCCTTACAAGTTTTCAAGAGATTTCAGTATTTCTAAAGACATTATCCAATATGCTACCATTTACACCATTCAAAATTGATAAGGTTACTATTCTGAATACATCAAGAACCAAACAAACTAAAAATGCTGGGAAGACCTGTGTAGGAACAAATATTTTGCATCATACTCCCTTCCCCTGCCAGAACTATATAAATATATATATAAAAACATTAAAAGACCAGATCTACACCACTGTATCAGATCTTCTCAGGGAAATCAAGCTGTACAACACTAAAAGGTGGCCTATACTTAGATGGTAGGAATACAAATTTCAATATTCAAAATAGACTACCCATCAACCAACATATATTTACATTCATAACAATGCTTGGCCTTACTTTACCATCCAGAGCATTAAGTGTAAAAATCTTATTCTAGCTTCATTTCTTTACCTATATAAACTGCGAGAGAAGTAAGGCTTGGGGAAAAAAAAAAGCAGTACAATGAAATCATTGTGCTGGTTTTACAAAAATATCAATAATATGCAGCTACTCAAACCTAAGACTCAAGTTACTGAAAAACAGGAATGAAGGTTTGTTACCAAATTTCATGGCATGAATTGTGTAAGACTGCTTTGTATGGTTCAGCACCATCTGAAATGGTTTATATCACATTGCTCACACTAAAGTGCTTTTGTCACTAATTAAAAAAAAATATATATATACATCTAAATAATCTAGAATGTTGTAACAATAAATTTTCATACAAAATCGAGACAAAAATGTCCCTAGATACGAGCTAATGGAACCTGCTCTATATATACATTTCAGACTTGAGACCTGGAGGTGGGAAGTACATTGCCTGCACTGGGATGTTACAGTTTGGAGGGCATTTTTTAATTGTGATGTCTACACACTTCTGGCAAGACAATTAATGAATGGTAAATTTTTCCTTTTTTTTTCTGTCATCCTATCTTTATGGGAGACTGCCAATGTAGTGAAAAAATATTAATTAAATTACCAATCTATAAAACTGGACTCTAAGTCTTCTTAATGTTGACTGACTATAATTTTGCAATTTTATCTAATAAGTTTAATTTTTTTTACAAAGCACAATTTTTCAGTGTTTCCTGTAAAATGTAGGCAAAGAACTGAAGAGATGATTTCTACAGAATAGGCATGTGTATGTGTGTGTACATGCATTTAATGAACCTAGCTGTATGTTACTGCATGTGCAATTATTTATTAATGCAGGAGTAGCATGCCAGCTCTTTGACCTGCCTCTTAACTTTTGATTGAATGATGTGATTTAGTTATACAGTATTTATGAACCTGTATTGAATACATCTATTGTATTCATGTCCAGCTTGTTCCACTTTACTCTTATATAAAGGAAATGGATTCTAAGATCTTTGTGGCTGTGTGTATATCTGTGACTGTGTAGTTATTTATATGAGTTCGTGAAGTTTGGGTGGTTTGTCATGCTTACAAATTTTCAAACTGATCTACTCGTCGTTTTGTGTTGCCTTTGCGAATTTCCCTCAGTGTCTTGTACTTGTCTCTTCCCTGCCGTACATTCTCCTTATGAATCTTGTCCATTGTTGTCTCCTTTTCAGTATCCCTCGTAGATTCAAGATCATGCTTTAGTGCCTGAGAACAAATGAATTTAAAATATCAAGCATGTAGTGACATTACATTTACTAATCACTGACAAGACATTTGTACAGTGCTTGAAAAAATTCCTTGTTCAATACTATTCTTTAGCTACATAAACAAAGACAACTTTATCTTAAGGGAACTAATGTGTTATTTCCACCTGTTAAACAGGTTTCCATTTCACACTTGTATGACAGAATGGCAATACCTCCCTGGATAGCTGCAGTCTACCAACCTACTACTTGCCCTTGACAAACATTTTCTGTCATTACTCTTCCTTAAACATTCTTGCATGTTAATGCCTCTTCCTTAACCTGATCCTTATCCATTTAAATTTTGAGATTAAAATTGGCAAAGCCTTTGTTAGTTTAATGATTTACATAACTAAATCAAGGAAATTGACTGAACACTAAAGCATAAATAATCAGTAATACAAAATATATCAATACTTTCATGAAAAACTAAATAAACTAGAATAATATCCTTGTATTTACCTTCAGCTGATTCTGTAGTCGCTCATTCCGTTCAGCTAGAGTCCTCCTTTCCTCTATGGGGTCTTCAATAGGCTCATCACTAGTGTAAAGTTCTTTTGATATGTCCCCATTGGGAATATCATCATTTTCTTCTGTGTCTTCTTGCTCAGCAATATTAAGATGCTGAGGCGTTGATGTAGCTGCAATTAAGGCAGCACTAGCTTCTTCTTGTTTGCGACGGACCTCTTCAACTTCTTCCTGAAGATACAAAGATTGATGAGAATTATCTTGACGAACATTTCCTTTAAAGTTACAATACCAATGTAGGAGAAAACTTCAGTCTGTCAGGAACTTTCATAAAAATTACCATAATATCTCCCAAAATTAGAAGAATTGGGATGGGAGAAAATAAAAATAATGTGTATATTAAATATGCAAGTCTTCATGCTCAAACAAGTACAATAGTCAAATGTTAGAGCACAGAAATGGTTTAAGTTGAAGGGCAAAAGAGGAGATGCATGCAGCCACTAATTGTAACCACTTAAAAAAAAAAAAAAAAAAAAAAATAATGGGAGAGATAGAGGAAGAGAAAGGAAAGCAAAATGTAGAAGGGTTGGGGTGGAGAAAAAAAAAGTGAAGGAAATAGTAGTAGGAAACAGAGGTGAGAAAACTAGGAGAGAGGGGGGAGACAAAGGGATAAAGATAAAAGGAGGAGGCAGAATGAAAAACTGAAAGGGGGAAGAAGGGAGCAAAGGTAGGAAGGTATAAAAAAGGAGGGAAAGGCAGGAAGAGTGCATCAGAGAGGAGAGAAGGATAGGAAAATGGCAGAGAGGGAAGAAAGGAAGGACACGACAGGGAGGATAGTGATGAAAGCATGAAAGAAGAGGGGACAGGAAGGTGTGAAGAATAGAAGGGGTCAGAGAGTGAGAGGAGAGAAGGGGGCAGAGGTAAGAGAGAATGGACAGATGAAGAGGAGAAAAGAACAAGTAGAAGAAGGGTAAGGGCAGAGCAGGAGAGAAGACAATAAAAGAACATAATAGGAGGAGAGAAGAGCATAAGCGAAGAACATAAAGCAAGAAGGGTAATGGCAGAGTACACCTTGGACAAGGTATATTCTTGGTCCTTTGCTACAGGTCTCCTTCAGCAATGTTTATTCCTCATCTGAGTCAAAGGCAAGGGAGTCGAGAGGAAGCTGGAGAAGGACTGAAATAAGGGTTGAAGGAGGTAATGAACTTAAATAATGCATAGCATGTCACAAACCTTTACACTGCTACACCTCTTGCTGTTATTAAATATACATAACACAAATGAATTCTATTAATAGAAACAAAACCTTTCCAGCACACAGTGTAAACTAATCATACTAATTACCTTACCACCTACACCTACTCGTGGTTGTCCCTCATGCAGTTCTTGCTTCAGGATCTTATTATGAAAAATGTAAACATCAATATTTAACATGAAAAGCATAAGTAAATTAATACATTGTGAAGAACAAGTCATAAAAGCAAAATTCACAGCAGAAAATTCAAACAATCTTAGACTGCCACAACAAAAAAATCTTCATTAAGAGTTGTAATGCCAACAGGTATGAGTACGTAAAGTAAAAGGACACAAGTGCAACTAATGTGACATTTATTGTGGCAACGTTTTGCTCTCCATTTATCAAGCCATTTATCAAATGGCTTGATAAAGCTCCTGGAGAGCGAAACGTTGCCACAATAAATGTCACATTAGTTGCACTTGTGTCCTTTTACTTTACATATTGTCGGTAATTCTACCAACTTTATTACAGGTATGAGTATGAAGAGTATATATAAAAAAATATTCTGCATATTATTACATCAAAATAAAACATCTCATTAAAGATAAATAAATTTACTGTCGAGACCCCTGCTCACAAACTTGTTCTCAGTGTCGAAGAATTAAAAAAAAAAAAAAATCTTATGAAATGATAGAGAATGTTAATGGTAATGACACCAAAAGTATGAAATTTGATGGAAAACTCGTAGAAATCTGCTCTTGCGAAGTTAGCGGTCTCTGCAATATTTATGCATCAGCAATTTTGCCCATTTTGAGCCCTATTTTTGGCCAATTCCAGTGTTCCAGCCGACCAAGCTCATAACTATTTTGCTAGAATTCCTTTTGTTTTATTGACTGAGTACAAGAAACTTCCCATTTACCGATTTCAACTACCCAATACAGTGATCAAATTGATAATTTGGCCAATTTCATATGCAATTCAAGGCCAATTTCAAAATAGGGTCCAGAATTAACAATGCAAACATTCCTAGCACTAAAATAAAATTTTCACTGATCATTAATCATGTCTCTAGGCCCCCTCTTATATTACACTTGCTTTCCATTTTTAATTTTAATTCACACAAAAAACAGAAGATTACTGCATTATTGTATAAATAATATTAGCGCATTTGTGAAAGTATATTAGACCCACCAGTTGACGTGTATTGGATAAGCGATGTAATTTGTTTGCTCTTCAACACTGGCAAAAATCGAACATTTACACTATTTTGAGCTCAATTTCAAGATACTTTTAGTCCATAAACCATTCAAAATCATCTCTAGTTCTATATCTTCCATTCCATCAAATGTGACCAAGAAAATGAGAATACAACCATAAATACCATACGAAAATAAACGGCAAAGTCACGGTTTTAAACGAAAAACACGTTGTTTTTTCTCATTATGCACTGAGTGCTGCAGGATTTTTTTATACTGAGCACACTGACAATGCAGACCCATCCTCTCAAGTGTAGGCAAACGCCCATCCCCCCAAGATTTGAAGCCGCTAGAATTTTAGCATAGTATTACGGGACTGACACTAGCTTCAAAGCCATAATATTATGGGAACGGCACCGAAGGAGTTAACAGAAGGTGACTCTCCTTCCAGCGGCAACATACTCCCTCCTCTCCTGCACCTTCTGCTTCTAGTATGCCATTAGCTCTCCTCTGACAGGTAAGAGGCTGTTAAATTTTCATTAACTGTACAGTATTTCAGTTAAAAGTTTCTTTTAGTATTCATTTTTAGTTTTATGTACTAGTTAGTACATTTTTAATAAATCATTATAGTATTGTTATATGGGGTCTGGAACAGATTAATTCTATATACATTATTCTTTATATGAAAAACTGCTTTGGTTGTCATCCATTTTACTTGTCGAATTGACATCTGGAATGAATTAAGTTCAACAACCAAGGTTCTACTGTAAATGACATAAAATAGGACTCAAAGTGGGCAAAATTGCCAATGTGTAAATATCGCTGATGCAGCAAAATCCACGAAAGTGTAATTTCATCAAATTTCGTACTTTTTGTTTTATTACCTTCAGAAAAAGATTTTCTACCATTTTATAAGAAAAAAATAATTTTTTTTTTTCTTGAAAATTCTTGGACCCTCTGGACACTTTGTAGACTGGGGGGTCTGGACTCTCAAGAGATTAATGAATAACTCTCAATGAACCTCATCAGCTACAGAAAGGTTGCTAGTTCTACGGTGCCAAAGCACAACAAATTGTTCAATGACAGCAACTGTGATAATGCAGCTTTTCAAGCAAGAAGTGTAATTGTAGCAATACTTCTGTGAGTTCTGGGTACAGCTTCCATATTTAATATTCTTATCATAGCTGCAGAATGATGACACTGTCACATTCTGAGACTGTGAAAGATTTGTAGAGCCTTTGATTTTGCTGAACCTAGTGAGGCCACAAAATGGTGAATTGCAATACAACAAAACTTGTTTCCAACTCCAAATCTCCAAATGATACTCATAATTGATCAATGTCCAATAAGGTCATGGATAAAACAGTGACAACCACATCTGTATCAAGGGAGCAGATCATTATCTTCTCAAAATTAACCATAGCCATGGAATGTTAAACAGTACATCTGATTATAGGGTGCTGACGAAGTTGTCAGAGGCAAGTGCAGCCTAATGATTAGTCAAAATATCAAAAGCTCCTTCTTGTTTGCATAATTTCTCAAAGTTCTGCCAGTTGGATAGCACTGCATTCGTGCCAATATAACTCAAATATCCTTCCACACTTCTGACTTGTGCCAACCAACTGGAGATAAAAGTCCCAAAAAATATTAACTTGCTTTACAGGACGTAGTCAAGTTTAGACGTATGGAATGAGCACTTTGGAGCAATAATCAATGAATGTCTTTACATTAGGACCAGGTCTAAGCATATTCACAGCTGCTGCTCCATCATGGTCTGGTGCAGCATTAGGTGGTTCAGTTTGTCTCTAGACACTGAGGTAGATCAGACTTATGAGTAGTTCTCATCTTTCCACCTGTACACGAGGATGGAGGATAGGGCTGGTTCTCATGATGGAAGAAGTCCATGATGTTCCAATCTCGTCTGATAGCTGATGTACAAATGTGAAAAATTATTATAGGACTCCTTTGCTTGGTCTGTCTGCCTATGGTACTTGAATATCTTCCTTCTTCATGGCCACTGGTTCTATGGTGGTGTAGAATTCTGGTAACTCTCCTACCTCTCTGATATCAGTCCACTCTGCCAGGGTGTTTTTACAATTTGTTCCATCTGTGCTGTTCTTTGGCTGGTGATACAGTAGTAGTAGTTTAGGAACAGCTGTGGCCAATGTTGCCCACAGCTGAATTGAACAAACCTTTTCTCATACTTGGGATGGGATGGAGGGGACAGATTGTTCACAATCATAGCTATCACATACATGATTACTAGTACTAGTTGCTGCGGTTATGCCCATAACTATCATACAAAATTTTGTTGGTGGACAGTATTAAATGATACCTGGACTTCAAATCTTCACATGTAGTTTCAGACCAAAGTACAATAGGTAGGCAGAGGTAGTCCTGTTTTTCTGCATTTGCTCCTGGCACTGACTACGTGTTTATTTTGGTGCATACTGAAATAGATCAACTACAAACAACGAAGCCTGAGAAGCAGTTATTTATTTAAACCGGATACTTGTAGCAATGAGGAGTGATTGTTGGAATGATGAAGTTAAGGGAGTGATAAAAAAGAAAAAGGTATCTTATGAGAGGTTTTACAAAGCAGAAGTGACATAAGAAGGGCAGAGTATATGGAGAGTAAAAGAAAGGTGAAGAGAGTGGTGAGAGAGTGCAAACAGAGAGCAAATTAGAGTGAGGGAGGCACTGTCAAACAATTTTGCTAAAAATAAGAAAAAAATTTAGAGCGAGATAAACAAGTTAAGAAAGCCTATGGAATGCATGGATTTTTCTTTTTTTAACAAGTTGGTCATCTCCCACAGAGGCAGGGTGACCGAAAAAGAAAGAAAATCCCCAAAAAGAAAATACTTTCATCATCATTCAACACTTTCACCTCACTCACACATAATCACTGTTTTTGCAGAGGTGCTCAGAACACAACAGTTTAGAAGCATATACATATAAAGATACACAACATATCCCTCCAAACTGCTAATATCCCAAAAACCCTCCTTTAGAGTGCAGGCATTGTACTTCCCATTTCCAGGACTCAAGACCGGCTATATAAAAATAACCGGTTTCCCTGAATCCCTTCACTAAATATTACCCTGCTCACACTCCAACAGATCGTCAGGTCCCAAATACCATTCGTCTCCATTCACTCCTATCGAACACGCTCATGCACACCTGCTGGAAGTCCAAGCCCCTCGCCCACAAAACCTCCCTTATCCCTTCCTTCCAACCTTTTCGAGGATGACCCCTACCCCGCCTTCCTTCTCCTACAGATTTAAATGCTCTCCATGTCATTCTACTTTGATCCATTCTCTCTAAATGACCAAACCACCTCAACAACCCCTCTTCAGCCCTCTGACTAATACTTTTAACTCCACCCCTTCTAATTTCCACACTCCAAATTTTCTGCATAATATTTACACCACACATTGCCCTTAGACAGGACATCTCCACTGCCTCCAACCGCCTCCTCGCTGCTGCATTCACATGGATTTGTCAGTGAAAAACAGAGTAGGGGAGTTAGATGATAGGGAACTGGAGGTATTGGGTAGATGGCGGGAATATTTTGAAGAACTTTTAATGTCGATAAAGAAGAGAGGCAGTAATTTCATGCACTGGCCAGGGAGGTATAACATCTTTTAGGAGTGAAGAAGAGCAGGATGTGAGTGTGGGGAAGGTTTGTGAGGCATTACGTAGAATGAAAGGGGGTAAAGCAGCTGGAACTGACGGGATCATGACAGAAATGTTAAAAGCAGGGGGATAATATAATGTTGGAGTGGTTGGTATTTTTGTTTAATAAATGTATGAAAGATGGGAAGGTGCCTAGGGATTGGCAGAGAGAGTGCATAGTTCCTTCATAAGGGTAGGGGGACAAAAGAGATTGTAAAAATTATAGGGGAATAAGTTTACCAGGTGAAGTGTATGATAGGGTTATTATTGAAAGAATTAGAGGTAAGACTGTGGGTAGGATTGCAGATGAGCAAGGAGGCTTTAGAATGGGCAGGAGATGTGTATATCAAGTGTACACTGAAGCATATATGTGAACAGTCTTTAGATACAGGTAGGTTAGTTTTCATTGCATTTATGGATTTAGAAAAGACACGTGACAGAGTGGATAGGGGAGCAATGTGGCAGATGTTTCAAGTGTATGGAACAGGTAGTAAGCTACGAAATGCTGTAAAGATTTTTCATGAGGATAGCGAGGATCAGGTTAGGGTGTGTAGGAGGGAGGGAGATTATTTCCTGGTAAAAGTAAGTCTTAGACAGGGATGTGTAATGTCACCATGGTTGTTTAACATATTTATAGATGGGGTTGTAGAAGTAAATGCTAAGGTGTTGGGGAGAGGAATGGGATTAAATTTCAGGGAATCAAATACAAAATGGAAGCTGACACTGCTTATGGGAGATTCTATGACTTGTCAGTAGACAGGTTTATGAAAGATGAGGTTAACCATATAATTGATGAAGGAAAAAAGGCGAGTGGTACATTGAGGTACCTGTGGAGACAAAAAACATTATCCATGGACGCAGTGCATTAGTGTTCGCAATAAAGCTAACAGAATTCTTGGCTTCATATCTAGAAGTATAAATAATAGAAGTCCTCAGGTTGTTCAACTCTATATATCCTTGGATAGGTCTCATTTAGTCTATGCTGCTCAGTTCTGGTCACCGTATTAAAGAATGGATATAAATGCTCTGGAAAACGTACAGAGGAGGATGACCAAGATGATCCCATGTATCAGAAATCTTCCCTATGAGGACAGACTGAGGGCCCTGAATCTGCACTCTCTCGAAAGGTTTGGAATTAGGGGGGATATGATCGAGGTGTATAAATGGAAAACAGGAATAGATAAAGGGGATGTAAATAGCGTGCTGAAAATTTCCAGCCAAGACAGGACTCGCAGCAATGGTTTCAAGTTGGAAAAATTCAGATTCAGGAATGATATAGGAAAGCACTGGTTTGGTAATAGAGTTGTGGATGAGTGGAACAAACTCCCGAGTACAGTTATTGAGGCTAAAACATTGCATAGTTTTAAAAATAGGTTAGATAAATACATGAGTGGGTGTGAGTTGGACCTGACTAGCTTGTGCTGCTGGGTCTGGTGCAGTGCTCCATCCTTGAGTGGAGGTGACCAGACTGGGTGGGTCACTGGGCTAATCTGGCGAGGTGGGGGTGGGGGGTGGGGGGTGTTAATGGGTCTGCTCCACATGGGTCAGTAGGCCTGTTGCAGTGTTCCTTCTTTCTTTCTAAAGAAAGGAATGTATGAAAGTATAATGGTACCAAAACTTTTACATGGGCGTGAAGCTTGGGTTGTAAGTGTTGTGGCGAGGAGGCGGCTAGAGGCAGTGGAGATGTCGCACCTAAGGGCAATGTGTGGTGTAAATATTATGCAGAGAATTCAGTGTGTGGAAATTAAGAGGAGGTGTGGAGTTACTAAAAGTATTAGTCAGAGGGCTGAAATGGGGTTGTTGAGGTTATTTGGTCATTTAGAGAGAATGGATCAAAGTAGGATGACTTGGAGAGTATAAATCTGTAGCAGAAGGAAGACTGAGTAGGGGTCATCCTCAAAAAAGTTGGAGGAAGGGGGTAAAGGTTTTGTGTGTGAGAGTATTAGATAGGAGTGAATGGAGACGAATGGTTTTTGGGACCTGACAAGCTGTTGGAGTGTGAGCAGGGTAATGTTTTGTGAAGGGATCCAGGGAAACCAGTTAGCTGGACTCGAATCCTGGAAATGGGAAGTACAATGCCTGCACTTTAAAGAGGGGTTTGGAATACTGGCAGTTTGGAAGGAATTCTAAACTGTCGTATCCGAGCACCTCTGCAAAGACAGTGATTATGTATGGGTGATGGTGAAAGTGTTGAATGATAATGAAAGTATTTTTCTTTCTTTCTGGGTCACCCTGCCTCGGTGGGAAATGACCGATGTGTTTAAAAAAAAAAAAAAAAAAAAAAACTTGTAACAACAATAATCATCTCTACTCGAGCAAGCAGACTGTGGCATTGAATCTTGTTAATGATTAGGAATGATGAGCCTCTTGGGTTCTGTATAGTAACCCTTTAGAACTCTTCATTCTTTCCATACTTAAGCAGCTGGATCTAATCACCATTAAATGTCTTGTTCTCCACTGCCCACTGGAAAACACTACCCTTATCTTCCTGCAATTTTTCTGTGTCTTCTGCTGAGATGATTTTCATTCTTGTCTTGGTATCACCTACAAATGAGGATACAAAAGTGTTGTGAGTGGTTTTTATGTCTGCTAAAGAGGATATGAAATAATAGAGGCACCAGGACCTTCCCTTGGGGTAATGAGCCTTTTACCTCACTAATGCTGGATTTTGCTCCTTAATACTATGTTCCATCTATCAAAGTTGAAAATCCATCTACCTACTTTCCTCATTATGCCTGTAGCCCTCGTTTTGTATACAATCATCTGGTGGTCACATTTGTCAAATGCATTTGCAAAATCCATGTATACCACATGTGCATATTGGTTTTCTTCCAACGCTTCTGTAGTTCTGTCATGGTGGTTTAGCAAATGAGACAAGCATGATCTCCCAACCTGAAAACCTTGATGGTTTGGTTTGGCTTGCCATGGGTTCAAACCTCATCCATTCTACGAGTAGTTAATAATCATGTTATGATTTCATGAGTCAGCTCCTTATCCTCATACTCACACAAGCCTGTTGAATGTTCAAGACCTCCTTTACTGCCCCTCTTCAACTGTGCATGGGATGACCCTTACTCCTACCTACCACCCAGTCTACATTAAATTACTGATAAAGGCTTACCTGTAGTTTCCTAGTCTCTTCATCCTTCAAGTTAACCTCTTCCTGGATTCGCTGAACTTCTTCTTGTTTGGTACGGATCTCCTCCTCCAGTTTCATTTTTTCCTCAGCCTCCATTTCCTTGGCTTGTTCTAGGCGCACCATCATATCATGTAGTTCTGTCTGCTTGGCCTCTAGTTCTTCCTTGGCTGCCTGCAACTGCCTAAGTTGCTCTTCTAGACGTCTGATTGTTTCTTGGGCATCAAGAAGTTCCTTTTGACGTCGTTCCATATCCTCCTGCATAGATTTCAAGCGTTCTTCATATTCTTTTTGTTTCCGCTCTGCTTCTTCACGAAGAGCAATTTCACGAGCTAATTTTTCTCTGCAAAATGCCATAGAACACATTTCAATAATGTTTGTAAAGAAAATAAATTTTATGAAACCCAACATTTAACTTTCCAAAATAAATCCATGTATAACTGTATAAAATCAATTAATATTCATATGGTGGCTTTACTGCAGTTCTTCAGGAAAAGCAGCTTTAGAACCACTGATAGTGAATGATATTTATCTCTGGGTTACTGTGACATTGAAGCAAATAGCCTAAGAGTAACAAACAAAAACTATGGATTCTGTAATCCAAATAGTAATCGATGTTTTTATTATACTGTTAAAGTGGGAAAAATAACATTAATGAAGAGATTAAGGGAAATCAGTTTGTAGGACTATTGTCCTGGAGGTGCGAAGGGCAGTGCCTGCACTCTGAAGGAGTTACACAGTGTGTTCCAGGGGTCAATGCCCCCACAGTGCCTGATCAATCAGTTTGTTACTGTTAGCTGCATGCAGTTCAATATACAAACCATAGCCAGGCTGGTCAGGTACTGACTCTAGGTCTCTGTCCAGTTCCCTCTTGAACACAGCCAAGGGTCTATTTGTAATTTCCCATATGTATGCTAGGAGGCAGCTGAACAGTTCTTGGTCCCTGACACTTATTGTGTTATCTCTTGGCATACTCACACCAACTCTGTTTTTCATTGGGAATATGTTTCACCATCTGCTGAATCTTTTACTTTTGTAGGGAATACTGCTTTTCACTGAGGATATGTTGCACTGCCTGCCAAATCTTTTACTTTAGTAGGGAATAATTTCCCTGTGCAGATTAGGGGCTAGTCCCTCTAGGATTTTCTAGGTATAAATTATAATGCATCTTTCTTGCCTGTGATCCAAGGGATACATGCCAAGGGACTTCAAGCAGTCCCAGTAATTGAGGTGCTAGACTATTTGTATGTACAGTGAAGGTTGTCTGTACATTCTCCACAACTGCAATTTCACCTGCCTTGAATGGGGCTGTACAGCAGAATTCCAGTTAAGATGGAATAAGTGACTCTAGGCTGGAAGGGATGGGGCATGTTACAATCAAAGGGGTAATTTGATTATGATGTCAGCACACTTCTGGAAATATGGCAATTGCGTCACCCCATCGATCACCCTACCTTGGCATGTTGATTCGAGACTGAGGCATTTTATAGCGGTTTTTATAGTTTTATTGAGCATTTCATGGTGTCAACTAACAGACTGGAAAACATAAGTGAAATAGATACGATTTTGATCAGTTTCAGACCAGAAGTGGCCTGAAATAAGTCAAGGTAGCAAAAATAGTATTTTTTTTTTTTTTCAATTTTCCTGAGAAAGGGTAAGCCCTCCCTCCCCTAGCATGTTTTGTGTGTTTTGCTAGGTCTCTTCCAATTATTGGGACAGTCTAAATCATGTGTAATCAATCCTGGTTATATTTTAGTAGCCAAAAAACAGGGTAAAACTTCAATTTTATTTTTTGTGATGATGGATTCAAAATGGAGGGCAAGTGTTATAGAGAAGCCTAAAAACGTAATTAATGAACAGAGGAAATGTTGACTGAGTGAATGGAATATCTACAGTGTTAATTTTGGACACTGAGTTGAATTGTGTGCAAAATTGGCTAAATTATAAACATTGGGAATTTTAAAGGCTAGTTCTGATAGTTGAATAGACAGTTTTGTGTTCAATTCAAAGATTGGAAAGCCAGGAACTGAGTGTTGATCAATGCAATCAGCCTAAAATATGCCTCAAACTGGGTAAAATCGTAGATGCTTCAAGTGCACCCTGACCTCTAACTTCTTGTCTTCGTACATGACACAGTTGTGCAATATTTGGGTATCTTTATTCAGGAAACTTTTTACCAGCCAGTGGCTTCTTCAGTCCAATACATAGAAGATCAGTTTAAGATGAGGAGGAATGAGAGTTAATTAGTCCCTCAGTCTGAAGTCAATATGTTTAGTCGATCAATCTTGATATACTACACTCAGGTGAAGTGAACCAGTGGTAGGCAGCACCACAAGGGAATTCTTCAAAGCCTGCCTTAACCTATAAGCATGACCTACTTCCACTGCTTCAACTCATCTGTCTGCAGTATACAGTAGTCCCCCAAAATTTGCAGGGATGTTCCAAGAGCATCCGCAAATTTGGAAAAACCAAAAATTCGGGACGCTAAAAAAAAAAAAAAGAAAAAAAAAAAAAAAAAGTCTATAAATGCCAATATTTATAGTTTAAATCCTAAGTATGTCCCAAAAACACTAATTTATCCTCTACAGTCGCTTTGTGTTCTCTACAGCCCTAAAAAATTAATATAGTATTATATTTATATGAAAATTTTGCTGAATTTATGTTAATATTTATGTTATAGTAGTAGGTTGGTAGACAGCAACCACCCAGGGAGGTACTACCGTCCTGCCAAGTGAGTGTAAAACGAAAGCCTGTAATTGTTTTACAAGATGGTAGGATTGCTGGTGTCTTTTGTCTGTCTCATAAATATGGAAGATTACAGGTACGTCTTGCTACTTCTATTTACACTTAGGTCACACTACTTACACTTAGGTCTTTCCTCCGTAAGCCATGCGTGTTGTAAAAGTCAACTAAAATGCAGGGAACAATGGGCTAGTAGCCCCTTTTCCTGTAATAATTACTAAAAAGAATAAGAAGAAGAAAATTGTCGAAGTGGGAAGTCTGAATGTGTGTGGATGTTATGCGAATGATAAGACATGATTGAGGATGTTATGAATGAGAAGAAGCTGGATGTCCTGGCTTTAAGTGAAACAAAGCTAGGACATCCAGCTTCTTCTTGGAGGCAGTGGAGATGTCCTGTCTAAGGGCAATGTGTGGTGTAAATATTATGTAGAAAATTTGGAGTGTGGAAATTAGGAGAAGGTGTGGAGTTAATAAAAGTATTAGTCAGAGGGCTGAAGAGGGTTTGTTGAGGTGGTTTGGTCATTTAGAGAGAATGGATCAAAGTAGAATGACATGGAGAGCGTATAAATCTGTAGGGGAAGGAAGGCGGGGTAGGGGTCGTCCTTGAAAAGGTTGGAGGGAGGGGGTAAAGGAGGTGTTGTGGGCGAGGGGTTTGGACTTCCACCAAGCGTGTTAGATAGGAGTGAACGGAGACAAATGGTATTTGGGACCTGACGAGCTGTTGGAGTGTGAGCAGGGTAACATTTAGTGAAGGGATTCAGGGAAACCGGTTATTTTATATAACCGGACTTGAGTCCTGGAAATGGGAAGTACAATGCCTGCACTCTAAAGGAGGGGTTTGGGATATTGGCAGTTTGCAGGGATATATTGTGTATTTTTATAAGTATATGTATAAGTATGTACTTCTAAACTGTTGTATTCTGGGCACCTTTGCAAATACATTGATTATGTGTGAGGTGAAAGTGTTGAATGATGATGAAAGTATTTTCTTTTTGGGAATTTTCTTTCTTTTTGGGTCACCCTGCCTTGGTGGGAGACAGCCGACTTGTTGAAAAAAAAAAAAAAGTTACAAAATTATTAAATTATATTTTTCTTTATATTTAGCATTAAAATGCATAAAATATTACATACTGCCACAAATAAAGAAAAAAAAATCCACGAATTTGCAGGAATTTCCGCAAACAATTATTAGTTAGGTTCTAAGGAAAAATTCGTTAATTTGGAACCACGAATTCGTGGGGGTCCACTGTATAGGTCTCTTCTCAGCACAGGCTGTACTTTAATCAAGGTAAGTGGACTGAACACATCAACTCCAGGCAGAGGGACTGATTACCTCAAACTACCCACCTTCCACTGCTCTTCTTTGTATTGGACTGAAGCCACTGGCTGGCAAAAACTTTTCAGAATAAAGATACCCAAATGTTGTACAAGTGTCTTACTTATCAGCTTGTCAGTTTTTAAAACCATTTATACACATTATTGACTTTAGTAACTCCCTAAATTATACATAAAAAAAAAAAGATCGACTGATGGGACTTTCAATTTCAGGTAGGTACATTACAAATTTATATGGCATGGTATTAGGCAATATGATAAACACACCAATTTCAAAGCAATTTTGCTATGTAATTTTGTGAGATAATCACCATGAACTTACACCACAAAAAATTGGTAAGCCAGACTAAAATTTATAAAACATATGCATCAACATGAAAATTTTGTAACAATTCTCTTGCTCTATGTAAAGGCAAAAATCTTAGAAAAAGTGAAGCAATTCCAACTGAATGTTATATACTGTTTATACCTTCTGCATCGCCAGGGCTAAATTGTAATGATACTGGAAATCACGTTTATAAACAAATTCAGAGGCAATAAGATTTGTATATCCTATGCTTCCCTTCATTTCCATATTCAGTTTCTATGAGAGGAAACTGAAAATGTCAACACAGAACCTTCTTTATTTAACCCTTTCCCTGTTGAGACCCCTGCTCACAAACTTGCTCTCAGTGTCCTGGAGGTTATTCTGGGGATCAACGCCCCCGTGGCCCGGTCCATGACCAGGCCCCCCGATGGATCAGGGCCTGATCAACTAGGCTGTTACTGCTGGCCGCACGCAGTCCAACGTACGAGCCACAGCCCGGCTGATCCGGCACTGACTTTAGGTATCTGTCCAGCTCTCTTGAAGGCAGCCAGGGGTTTATTGGCAATTCCCCTAATGCTTGATGGAAGGCTGTTGAACAGTCTTGGGCCCTGGTTATGGTGTTTTCCCTTAGTGTACCAATGGCACCCCTACTTTTTATTGGGGGCATTTTGCATCGCCTGCCCAGTCTTTTACTTTCGTAGGGAGTGATTTCTATGTGCAGATTTGGGACCATTCCTTCCAGGAATTTCCAAGTGTAGATTATGATATATCTCTCCGTCCTGCATTCCAATGAGTACAAGGCAAGAGCATCCAAGCGTTCCCAGTAGTTAAGGTGCTTGACAGAACTTATACGTGGAGTAAAGGATCTCTGTACACTCTCTAGATCTGCAATTTCACCTGCTTTGAATGGAGATGTTAATGTACAGCAGTATTCCAGCCTAGAGAGAACAAGTGATTTG